TGCAGCATTATGGCAGGTGTGCTTTAGCTGGGTCAATATGTGCTGTCATAAAGAGTGTTTGTTCCGTTTCAGGCCCATCTGGTGAGCTGCACTGTACATTGCCTGCTGTGGCTGCAAAACATGCGCCAGTCAGCCAGACGCAATGCTGGCGACAGTGATGACGATGATGATGAGGAAGAGGAGGAGGGATACCAGTCTGACCTTAAGGCAATCCTAGAGAGCATGACAAGACGCATGATCAAGAGTGAACTTGAGGACTTTGAACTGGTATGAACTCAAAACAGGAGCATGCGCTGTTAAAGAGAAATCTGCACTGAGCTGCGTTGTTTAGATTTCAGAGGTCTTTAGTGCCTCCTGCTTTCCCCTAAACACCATCAATAAAATCCTACTGACTTTGTGTGGAAGATACCTGCACTAAGACTGTAAAATAACAATCACTAGCAATGTGTAATTCTATGAAAATAAGTAGTCTGAGTTAAAAAAAAAATAAAATTAAAAATAAAGAAAGAAATCATTGATATTGTGCCACTGGAAGCACTGCCTTAAGCCTTATGTGTCTATCTGATGAACAGGACAAGTCAGCAGAGTTTTCAATGGGATCCAGTGTTGGAGTGAAGAACAACATCTACGCTGTGCTGGTGATGGGAGTGTATGAGGTCCTCATGGAGTACAACTTTGTCACAGCCAACTACAGGTAACAACCATCTCTCTTTGTACGCTGTATTTTGTTGTTCGTTGTTATAGCGGTGATTTGTTTTTTTTTGTTTATGGGTTTGCTTCTGCGTCTTTCAGTAAAAGCTGCTTTGAGGAGCTCATTGAGCTGTTCAGCCGCTACCACAAGCTGTCTGAGATCTTGAAGGAGAAATCTGGAAAGGGTCGAGTGCCTTCACACAAGACGCCTCGCAGTTTGCTCTCCATGGGCTTCACATCAACTCTTGTCACTGTGCTCTTCAGGTATCAAATGGTTGTATCTGATTATAAAAATACATACAGTGAGTATTGGGGCTGCAAGGTGGCTCGGTGTTTAGCACCATTGCCTCATAGCAAGATGGTCACTGGTTCGCGTCCCGGTTAGGATGCCTGCGATCTTTCTGTGTGGAGTTTGCATGTTCTCCCCGTGCAGCGTGGATTCTCTCCGGGAAGTCCAAGCGGTGTATAGATGATGGATGGATGGACAATGAGTATTGATTGTGTTTTTTTTGTAGTTTGCAAAGACTTCTAGGCTTTGTATTTACAAGAACTATGAAAAGCTGTGAACTCAAAAACTGTTTTTCTAAATGTCACTGCAACAGTTAAGCATTGAAAAAAACAGATTTTTTTTTCTTTTCTTCCAGAGATACTACTCAGAGCAGGGAGGAAGCTCTTTCAGTGCTTCGCTCAAATGGAGAATTTGTGCGTTATGCAGTAAGCGTGGTTGTACAGAAGATCCAGCAGCTGGAGGAAACTGGTCACACAGATGGTCCAGATGGACAGAGCACAGACAGAACCTTCCGCTTCCTCTGTGACATGACAAGGTTGAAATCCCCTTTGGTCCAAATAACAGCAGTTAGTTTGACTTCATGCTTTTGTTCTCTGTGACACTGCTGCGACAGTAAGTGATCTTTGTCTAAATGTCTTCCCAGCGTGCTGATGTGGCGTTACACAAACATCCCCAGTGTGGTGGAGGAGGCCGGAAAGAAGGAGAAGCGCTCCAGCTTGTCGCAGCTTTGTTTGGAGGGTCTGCTCAGGATCTTCACTACCTGCCAGCAGCGCTACCCAGACAAGATGGCCCAGCTCCTCTCTGCCATGGGTTGGACATGCACTGTAAAAGCAGTTAATTTCTAGGTTTTGCGACGCAACAATTCATCATATTTTGTTTCTCACAGACAGCGCAGAAGATGATGCAGAGCAAGACGATGGAACAGAGATGAACTACTTTTACATCCGACAGTTTCAGGTGTATCTGTACAGAAAATAATATTCCATACACTAAGGAATGTGAGGCTAATTCTGCACAAGGAGCCATAATAATATGACAGATACCTGGCTTTTCACACCTTGTTGAGCAAATTCACTAAAATTCAATTCTCTTTTTCTGTCAATAGAGGGCGCTGTTCACTCAGTTAACAGGAGCTGAGGAGGAATTTAACAGTAAAGAGGCTCAGCTGCTGGTCAGCATCTTGACTGTGCTCTCACGCCAGCTAAAGCCCTCCTCCCAACAGGTAGGTCTGCTCTCGCATCCACTTTTTTTTTTTTTGGGCAAAGTGAAGGATGCTTTCTAATACGTCTACATTTAATCAACAGTTTGTTCAGATGATCACATGGACTGTGAAAATCTGCAAGGAGACGAGTTTTGGTGAGCGACAGTTTGCTTCATGTTTCTGCTTGTGTTCGGTGCAGTGACGCGTGTCCTAAAGTGCATTTCTTTCTCCTTTTAGAGGATGCTGCATTCTCAAAGGGGCTGCTCTCACTTCTCTTCAACCTGCATGTTCTCTATAAGAGTCCTGTAAGTTTGCTGCTGGAGCTCTGCCAAGACATCCACAGCCAGCTGGGAGATATCGATCAGGTACACACAACTACACCTTATGTACTTGGCATTGTGCTTTAAAAGAAACGCAACCAAGCAGGTGGCATCAGTTAATATCAGAAAATTATAGTGATTTAATTATGCTCAATTAGGCTGCACAGTTTTTATTTTATATCTCAATTTCCACATTTGATGTTATGTACATTTTTGCTTGATACTATTAGAACAACTTTCATTTAATCTCATAACTTCATGTTTTCTAAGTATCAGTAGATATCGGCCATGTTAGAACTTTCAGTTTATTACTCTGCAGTGCCAGAATTGTCCTTTTTTTAAAAAAAATATATTATTATTATTATTATTATTATTGTTGACACACAGCAAACTTTCTTTTCTATCAGCAGTCAGCTGTAACTCAATTTGCTGTACTAACAATACGTTTATGACAGTAAATGTATGACAATAATCTTCTATAACAATGCAACCAACAATCATGTGCCATTTCTTTTATTCTGCCTTTTCTTCGCTACAATCAGGATGTGGAGGTGGAAAAACAGTCACATTTCAACATCGTCAACATGAAAACTGCCACGACCGCTGCAGTAAGTGTTGGTTTTCTAACTGTAAGCTTCCGATTCTGTTTGCTTAGCGTTGCTCACCTTCCTCTTCATCGTCATTTTAATCTCTTTTCCCAGCTGCTGGTCCTGTCTCAAGTTGACAGAGTGCTCGATGAAGTGGACTGGCTTATTGCCAGAAAGAAAAGTCAGACAGCCTCTGACAAATTGGGCTCCGGTAAGAGGCCTTTTACTCTTGATGCTCACTTGGATTGATGCAGAGAGTTGAGAGTGGATGAGGGAAGCGATGCATTTTTCAGTAAATGCCACTGAAACTACTCTGATGTTATGTCCCTGATGTGCAGACGAGGCCTCCCAGACTGCAGGCCAGCAGGATGCACTTGAGAAAGCAGTGACAGTGCAGCTCGGGACTCTCTTGACGGCATTAAATGAGCTTGTTCAGACGGCCCTTCTGCCGGGCACCTGCACCATTACGCTGCTGAGGGAACTGAGCCGCACGTACACCATCCTCACCACCCTGGTCAAATATGTGCGTACTCGTCCACTCGATGATTTAAGTGAGAGCGTTGGGGCCAAGTGTGACTTCTTCTTTTCTTCGTCTTACTTTTAGTACATCCAGGTGTGCGCCAGCCAGCACGGGGCACTGCCAACTCGCTTTGAGAAGCTGGTGAGTCCGAGCTATTGTCACTTGATTTATATCTTCCAGTATTTCTAATGCCATGCTTGATTAATGTCTCCTGCGCCATCTGTGCAGGTCAAACTATCGGGCTCCCACCTAACACCGCAGTGCTACTCTTTCATCACATACGCACAGGTACGGCTCGGTTCACTTTTGCGATCTTAAGAGGTTTGTTGTTACGGATGTGACACATGCAACTTCATCCTCAAGAGGTTGAGGCTTTAAGAATGATTTTTTTTCCCTACGTGTTAGAGTGGCGAATTCAGTGGTGGAGATGACAAGAAGAAAAAGAGAAGGAATGAAGTCAACACTGCCGGCTCTGTAAGAACACTCACCTCCTACAAATGCACTGATTAAAGAACACACTCACACTGTTAGTTTCTTTGTTGTATTAATAAAAAATGTACAGAAACAACCGACAACTTTTGAACAAGTCTGTATATATTTTTCCCGTTTGGTAGGCAAAACTTCTACGTGAGACAAAGGCCATCCCTAACTTGATCTTCAGCATTGAACAGTATGAGAAGTATCTCATCACACTTACAAAGAAATCAAAGGTATGTGTGAACTCCAGCACATGAGATAATTTACAAAATATACATAAAAATACTTAACAAACAACAGCTGTCTGATAAGTGCTGTCAGTTAAAAAAAAGACACAGTGTTCAACCTCCAACATCTGTATCTACGTTTGTTCAGGTAAATCTGATGCAGTACATGAAGCTGAGCACCTCAAGAGATTTCCGCATCAACGCTGCTACCCTGGACGCAGCGCTGCAGGAGCAGGACGACAGTCAGGAGGTCAGCTCAGCTCCAACAGGACCACAAATACCAGTTTATCACACACAACTGCCTCTTTTCTCACATTTTACTGTATCACATTAGTTAGCTGACACAATATCCAGACTGTGTTCCTTGTTGAAATGTTTCCCCCTGGTGGTGCATGTGGCTAAAACATTAAACCGAAACTTGGTTTAAGAAAGCTTCATCATGCACACGTGATGTTTTGAGCTGCATGTCAGTCCTGTTTGTTGGCTGGATTCTTAATGTCTGCACTTCCATTTTTTTCCTCTCAGCCCACAGAGTCCCAGGACACAGAAGAGACGCAAGAACCCAAACAGAAGAAGAGAAAACACTGAGTTGATATTGGACCACTCCGTTTGATGCTTTCCTCACGTTTTCACTCGACCAGCCGATGAACAGCGTCCTGGTAGTTGCTTGTTTCAAACTGCTGTTTTCAGAATAACAGCAGCTCAAAAAGTGCTACCTTACTTGTGGAGAGAGCCCTTGGTGATGTCGATGATTTGGTAGATGTCCAAGGCTTCACCTGTGGAAAGTTTGCACACACACAGTTTGATGATCTCGTTGTGTTCCTATACTTTGCTTTATTCAAAAGAAATATGTATTTTGTACATATATTAAATGTACTTAGTTATTTTCAACTGACATTAAAGTTGTTGCTTTGGTTTTACATTATTTTAAGATTTGTCAAGAAGTAATTTGACTTCCTGCTCCTATTTCATCAAGCGGATGAATGATAAAAGCTGCTCTGTTAAGATTAAAGTTGTTTCGTTTTGAAATAAATATTATATTCCTTATTCTACTTATAGACTTTGTACTCATTTATTGACAATTAAACATTTTTCCCAACACATCAGTTGTAAAATATATATATATATATATAAAAGGCTGATGATGGTGCGCTGGACTCACCAGGTGCTATATATATATATATATATAAAAGGCTGATGATGGTGCGCTGGACTCACCAGGTGCTAGGCCGTATTTTCGTTCCACCCCTGTGGGGTTGGAGGGAGTCACACAGTCCATGGTGACCTCCTTCCTCAGACACTGGTCGATGTCCACGGCACTGAAGAAAGCTACTGACTGTGGAAGGTCCTGCATGCCTAACGCATGAGCGAACACACTCCTGCAGGGGAAAGAAGCAGCACAATCAGAAGCGCTGCCAATTTAGTTGCACATTTGGACAGAAAGAGCAAACACTGAGCTGACCTCGTGAGCAGGTTTGTGATTTGGAGCGCCAGCGCTGCTCGGTAACGGTCTTCACTGCGGACGAGGTACCGCACCTCGTCGTGGATGCTGATGCAGAAACGGCCGTCGATGTTGTGCTCCTCAAAGAGCCACTTCATGGCCACCAACATCAGATGTAGGTAGTCCACCGCGGAGCTCTGCACCACCCAGTTCACTCTGCTGGTGATAAACTAACAAAAAGAATTCAGCAACATCTTACTTTGAAGGTTAAAGGTGTTATTTTGTTGTTCAAAGGCTCCATTAGCAATAACAACGGATGTTTATGGCACAAATCACTTCAAGGAAAAAAAATGCAACAGTAAATCAAAGTGGACAGTAAAATATTTAAAGGTAATAAACATCTTTTTATAAAGATTCTCCAGAAATAAACTACTAATGGAGACTGCTCATGTTCGTTTAATATAAACACGTTGATTAGAAGCTGTCCTGTCCCACTAATCAACACCTTCTCACCTCATTGCTAACTGCCGTGGGCTCCAGTGCTCTGCTAATCCTGCAGCCGAGAACAGGAGTTGCTGGCTTCGCTGAATGAGCTATACTCTCCAGCTTGTTGAACATGTCCGACTCGGTGCCTCCACCCCACAGACGTTTGCCGACAATATCCCACCTCTTCCGCTGAGAGCTGAGGGGATATATAAACATAGGCAGGCAGAATAAGACACAGAGAACCAGAGACAACTTAACAGAATGTGCTGTGATACTAAAATGGCTCTGCAATTTTTTTTGTTTTACTTCCTCTCTCACCACTTTGAGGCCAGTTTGCTGATCCTTCGCAATTCCTGCAGGGAGACACCTCCGCTTTCCTCCCTCTGCACCTCTATGTCCAGTTCATCGACCAGCCACTCACCCTCCTCTGACAGAAGGTAACTGGCAAAAGATATAACAAACAAGCAGGGATAGAGCTCAGCTTGCGTTACTAAGAATAAAATCTCAGCTCAAACTGATCCAACAATCTTGTTGAACTTACCTGCGTATACCCTTTGTTAAGGCGTACATCTGCCTGGCCTTACTGGCAGCTTCTGTCTGATCAAGGCGGTGGTTGAACTGCATCAGTAGCCTCTCAGCAAACGGCTGCCCTGCACCGTATATGCGTCCGTAATTGAACACCTTTGCGTGCTCTCGGCTGATGCCCACAGCATCAGCAGTACGGCTGTGCAGGTCAGTGCCCTGACTCTTCTTTCCCTGAAGGGTCATCCAACCGAACGCCGTACAACCTAAAACACAAAGACACTTATTAGGCAGAATTACTATCAGATGCTGCTGCAGACAACTACAACGCACTTCGACAACTTTAACAATAGTTTTTTAAAAATAAAAGTAAGAGATTTCACCATGCATGCCAGCGAAGTGAGCCTCCCCGAGCACCGCAGCGATCCATAACTCTTGCGAGTCTACGTCTGCTCCAACCAGGTGATATCCTGGAGGAACCTGTACCATGGCCTTCAGCTCGCTGCCTACCCGATCCCGCTGAGGACACAACAAACAGCAAAAAAATCCTTTCAAGTCTGATGAAGACAAATTAGCCCAGTTTCATACTTCAGGTGTTCAGTTTTCTTCGTCGGCTCTGCCTCTTACCCGTGCATTACTGGCAGTCAGCCATGTTGGCTCCACAGCCCTCCGTGTTACCGTTCCAGCCGTGATGACCTGAGGTAATATGGCACCATATTGGCCCTCCTCATCAAACTCTTTGTGTCTTTGGAGGGACAGAAAGTTTATTACATACAGCAATGACTTTACTATAAATTAAGCGACTGCTTTTAATATTGCAGACAGACCTGCTGACAGCGTGAGGAAGCTCCCCCTTTTTGAGAAACAGCACCATCTGGGAGCTGCAAAGGGGCACGAAACAAAGCATGTATTCATTCACCAGCCGACTGGAAGTGATAAATACTTTTATGGCAGAAACTGACGGGTACCTAATACGTTTATGGGCATTCCTCCAGAAGGACATCATTTTGTTGATTTCCAGAGCTCGTGTTGCGTTGGTTCCGCCCCTTCCTGCTCTAAGAGTGCCGTCCTCCATCTTGGCCAGGAAGTCTTTTGAAAAAGGACTGCCGACATTGTTGTGATTACCATCCTAGAAACACAAATAGTGGTCAGACACTTAGACACCGTAGGTAGCTCAATGGAATGACGTTGTGCCAATGCTACTTATTCAGAGCACTTCAGGTAAACAAGGAAACGTCTGTTCACCTTATGCGGCAATTTGAAAAACCAGCAACCTGGAATATCGACATCATTGTAGGGGCCGTTTCCATGGTGATAATCGCACTGACTCTTTGCTTGGACGTGATGTTGATCTTGGGACTGTTGGTGATACAGTATGTCATAAACCAATCACAATGAAGCAAGAAAACAAACAATAAAAAACCACAACATGTATAAGTTAAACAAGTCAGTTCTATATTTAGAAAGGTATTAAAGCATTGGATTAAATGCTAGGGCTTTAAAGATGTGAAGCATCTGCAAAAAAAAAAAACCCCACTGCACTCACCTTGTTTTTCTTCTGCGCTCCATTTCTAATCATTGAGATGCTACTTTCTTCTGTCAGACTTTCCAGGGAACCTAATTCTTCCACCTAGAAATGACATTGAGAAACACGTCTCTTTCATGAAGTGTATTCTATCCTTCCAGACCCATAAGCCTGATAAGTTACCCAGTATAACACTGACTGAAAAAAGAATTGGCACAGTATAGTTCATATAAAGCACCGGGGGGAAAAGTACATTTGGTGAAAGTGCACCTTAGAACGTCACACTGATTTATTTGTTGATCTGTTTGAACTTTAACGAAAACCATCTTGTTTGCTGTTGATATTAAAGAAAAGCTCTAAACTTGATGATTATCAGACAAAATCTGAAGCTAGAGGAATTAATTTTGTATGATTTTTAAGCAGCCTATTATAGATGATTATTCCTTATGGACATTAGCACAATCCCTGTTTCTGGAAAGAGTAAGTTGTACGTGTAACATCTGTTTGTTTTTTTTCTGGCTCGAGTCATGACTCTGAGAAGAAGTGGTGCAACTGTTAATGCAAATTGCTTCAAACATGACAATACTTCAGTCACATTACATTATGCGTGTATGCACCTTTGCCCACACTGTGCTGTCTGTCAACCATTCATCTGAAGGGCTGGAGTCCAGATATTCAGGCTTCTCTTTGCTGTTCTGCTCACAGTACTCTCTGTAAACACTCTCAATAGCTCTGTGGAACACAACAAGGCTTTAATACACAAACACTTGGTAAGAAATGACCTTGCCATGTTTCTATTTTAAGAGCAGTAAGTACCTGTGTGGGCACACAGGCCCGTCGTTTTCCTCCTGAGGATTTAGGTTGTCCCTGCGTCCAGGTACCAGGTAGCCCCAGCCATGTTTCTCTGTGTAATGCAGGGGGAAACCATCCCATGTCAGACCCATGAGTTTAGGGGTCAATCTCATCTGTAGACTGATGAGACTGGCTCCAGGTGACCAGCTGTCCTCCGCAGACATCTTTTCACACAGCTTACGATACCACCTGAGGGAGAAAATAAAAATGGACTAATTTACCCTGTCAGTGGTAAATGATGGAGAACACTGAGCGCTGATAAATACCAGGCTGTGTGCTTGAGAGTGGTCTTACCCTGGATGTCCAGGTAGATGCTGCCGTCTCTTAGGAAGTCGATTCACTGTTTCCTTCAGGTTCTCAACAGCCAGCCTGCTGGGACAGGGACCTGCCATCTCCTCTTCAGATGGTGGACCTGGGTCTAATGATCACCAACAATCACCTCATCCGTTACTTTACTAACAACCTTTGTGCCATACTGTTATAATAAATAAGCTTAATAAGAAATACGTGATCAGCCAAATGAATATGTTTCAGGTTCTGAACTTATACCGTCTTCCCACTCTGGTAGAGGAGTAGCAGCTTGTGGTTCAGCTGCTTTTTTGGAATTTTTCTTCTTGCTGGCAGCTACTTTCTTCTGTTTGAACTCCTGCACATCCCACTCAAGATCCCAAAGCCAGGGGTCTTCTTTGTATCTTAAAAAAAATACACACCACATGCAATGGGAATGTTTTTATACAAAGCCCTTTACTGCCTTGGGATTCTCAGCCACATATTATGCATAATGTCATCCTCCTTTTATGTGTCACACTGGTATAGCCATGTTAAATGTAGTAAAAAAAAAACAAAAACAATAATAAGAGGAAGAATCAGTGCTCCTCTCACCTGTCATCCTGCAATAGCTGGCAGGCATCATCTGCTAGAGTCATCAGAGACTTCTTCATCTCTCTCTGGAGCTCTTCGTAAACGTCCTGAGAGTCTTCCAGGTATCTCCCCCAGTTCTGATTGACAGGAAGGTAGCTCACGCCCATCTCAAGCATCCCTGCAAACGTCACTGGATGAGGGCACCTTATTAAACACAGAGGAGAAACGTTGTGGCAATGTGAATAACACAATACCATATATTCTTATCTACACCATCAGTACACATGCAGTCAGAGATACCGAAAATGCTGGGAGTTACCGACCTCTCCATGAAGAGGGGTAGCTGCTCTGTGAACACCTGATGTGTGGCCTCAACATCCAGAGCGCAATACTGCATTAACTCCTGTAGGTGACAGCAGAAGCAAACTTATTTTTGCCTGACTGCAAGTTGTGACGAGCACAAGTCATCCAGAAGATATAAAATTACATACAATTTTGGTCTACATTCAATAACTATCTGACGCACATTTTGTCAAGAACCTCTGACCTGGAAGTTGTTTCTGACATCCATCATGGTTCCCTTCACAAAGGTCTCTCTGGCTTCTTTCTGCAGCGGCGGCCCTCCCACATACAGAGCGTGGACATCAGCCAGATTGTTGATGCTGCTGATGTTCACCCAGTCCCAGGAGCCGATCTATGCACAGAACATCATGTCAACACTGAATTTAGTCTAATAAATACCCAACATAAAGATCTTGACTTTTCCTGCTAAAGCAAACCTGCACACTGCCACTCATAATGTATATTGTGGGTTAAAAACAAAAAACACACAAACCTTTGGGCCCTCCTTTTTCCATGCAGCTTTCTTAATGTGTTCCTTGACCTCCTGAAGACCCCTCTTTTTACCCATCTTATTGGCCATCCACAGTGTGCGCTGGAATCCTGTCAGCCCCGAGATGGCCATGTGAAGGCTCATGGTGTCCATGAAGCGAACCTTTGTACCCTTAGAGGAAAGAGAACACATACATTTTTTTTAAATGTACTAAACATCGACTTCATTCACAAAGAACGTCAGAATCTGCTACTGGGCATATTTTATCATGTGGATCATCCAACAAAGGTGCAACCCAAACGAAGAAAGGAGATAAAATGCTAGGAAGTGTAAAAGAGTACATGTGAAAGAAAGTCAAAACGCAGCATTCTGTGAATACCAACCTTGAGCAGATATTGCTCTTTAATATGAGAACGGTCAAAACTGACATTATGGCCCACGATGAGCCTCTTCTTCCACTGACCCTTGGGGGCGCGGGCAGAGTTGAATGGTGTCTCCAGTGGAATGAGGTCAGCAAGGCTCAACTGGTTAGACCAGGAGTATCTCTCTTCAATCAGACGCTTACTGCACCACGAGTACCTAGCAAGTGAGAGCGTTAATAGTGTGTTTTTAGCAGGTTTTTGGCAATATTAGTGGATCATACAGATCCATGTTCTGTCTATCAAGTGCAACAACTAACCCAACACCACAACAAAGCTAACAAAACTGTTAAATGCAAGCAGGTGCATTTCTGTCCTTAAAATGAGTTTGGTTCAGTCCTCACCAGTTTGTGGGAGACACAGCAACAGCCAGTGTGGGACAGTGCCCCTCCGCCATGCACACCTCCACATCAAACACCAATGCAGACTCCTCTGGGAAATCAACTTTCTGACTCTCCCCATTGGGCCCATAGCGTGTCCAGCCAACCTCGTAGCTCCATTCCTGAGGCATGGGCGGTAGCTCAGCTTGGTGAAGCTTGATGGCAGCCTCAAGGTAGGGAAAGCTCTGCTTCTCAGCCAACTTACGAAAGTGCTCATCAATGTTTTTGCCGTACATCTGGGGAAGTTTGAGCGTGACATCGGGCAACAGTGATGTTTCTTTGCCCCACAGCTGGTGCTTCTGCAAGTGCTCAATGCTACGCTCTACGGCATCCTCTCTGTACTCTGGTTCCAGTCCTCGAAAGATCTGCTCATGGAGATTTTTCGACAGCATCTGAATGTTAAGGGGGTTCAGGCGAGTCTCTGGAGAGGTCTCCCCCTGAAGAGAGTGAAGCTTGGTGGAGTAGAAGGAACGCAGCCTCGTCCATTGTAGAGAGTTAAGAGTCCTCAGCAGAGGACAGCGTGACACACGCAGCATCACCTCATGGGGACTTCTCACTAGAGCTGTAAGATATTGATACAATGACAAGGTGACATGATTAGTAAGGTTAAGTTTCTGCCTCTCATGAGTTTCTCTCTCACAGCCATAAGGTAGCACTTTGGTTAAAGGCAGAGGCTCACGACCTGGACTGTTGGCTGCCACATCCCAGTGACAACTGTGCAATAATCCTGCGTCCTGAACCCATACACCTTCTTCTAATACAGCATTTATAGTGTATATTCTATCAGCATTATTTGTACCTTGTCATGTAATAATCCTGGATCTGCTAACGGCTCAAGGACCCTTTCTTTACACTTTATTACTTGTATACTGCATTTCAAGAGTCTATTCTATTACCACCATTTGCACTTTATCTTTTTCTTATCTGTAATATCTATCTATCTATCTATCTATCTATCTATCTATCTATCTATGTACTGTATGGCACAAACTGGGACTACATGCTGCTATATCAAGGTACTAGATAGATTTTAGACACAGATAAATAATGTTTGATCATATGTTATGATTTGTGACTTGTTACTGTAATATAGTTAAGTGCCCAAAATCATACTCGTCTTTTAGAGTTTGTTAATTCACGTGTCAGTGGTTTTGTGAGCCTCTAAATGTGTCTGCTTGTCTCTCATCACTTATCTCTGCCAACTCCACAGCATTTTGATCATTTCACTCAGATAACTTGTGTTTACAGCAACTTTATCAACTCCAGACATGACCGAAAGCACTTGCACTGAAATTCAACCAGCTTCACCAACTGCATCATAGTACAGCTACTTCACTTAGTAGAAAATTAGTCGCCTCACTCTCACATTATTGTCGCTGCTGCACCACCAGCCTCCTCACGCATGTTTACCAACACTTTGCTAACCATGCTAACCTGACAGCAACTAAACACATGCTAACTGTTTAGCGCTGCGCTGTTGACAGTCCTCGCTAGACTGCCTGCAAGAGCTAAATAACGCGCCTCAGCCGCTATGAGTTGCCCATTAATTATAACGTTAACCAAACATAATATGTTTGAATCACTCCAGAGTAAATGATAGCTACCTTAGCATTGATTCTTTACTCACGGGGTTGTGAGAGCTGAGCAAGCGTTAGCGCCCCCGTGTGGTCGGGATGACCGCGGCGCTTTTGAGAATGGGAAGTAATGATTGGATACGCATCGCGGTGGACCAGGGTATGTTTTGCATCAACGAAGGAGGAATTTTACACAATTCGTTGCGTAAATAATGTGAAGAGGCTTTGAATTGAGAACATAAATGGTATTTAAAAAAACAGAATACGTTCCATAGCTGTACATCGTCGGCCGCGTGGCCTAATGGATAAGGCGTCTGACTTCGGATCAGAAGATTGCAGGTTCGAGTCCTGCCGCGGTCGAATGTTTTGTTTTTATTCCCCTTGAGTGCTGTATTTTCCCTGCAAAATTTAACTCGGTTGTCTATTAATAACAAATGTCCCCTCTACGTGGAAAATCGCTTTGTTGTGATTGTGCTTTAACGTATTCATCTGCATCCTCAATTTTTTTCCCCCAGCTTCCTCATGTGGATGTGAAAGAGGAGGCACAGTGTCGCTGTCGGTCTTATTTCACTGCAACACCTGGTTCATTCCAGCCTTATGATACAGCCACGCTTCCCCTAAATGGTAGCTTTGCTTAATGCACCTACAGTAAAGGGGATTTTTTTGTCTCCCTCCAAACGTGTTATGTTTGCCTGTGTTGTGTTATCCCGGATGCTGTTTGATTGTTAATGCTGCTGTGTTTTGTCGTGTTGCTTCCCGGCAGACGATGGCGGATGACACTGAGGATGTTGAGCTGGACTTTGCTGCTGACGAGCAGGAGAGGGCGCGGAGAAGCGCAGTCATAAGGTGCACCGCAAGAGATATCGTCACAGAATCTCAGTGTTTCTGTTTTAATTGATGTAGAATCAGCAGGGATTGCCTCCAGCTTTGTGCAATTATTTACATCTAAATCAACTTCATTGGACAAGTTGTGCTTTGTCATTTGCAAGCAAAATGACTCAATCCTGCAGAGTACGCATGGGTTTGCACATGAAATGTTTTCTGGTTTAGATTTTTTATGAATTGCATTTGTATAAGTTGAGGGACATTATAAAATTGCAGGATTTTTTGAGGCTATGCAGTCATCTCCTGTTTAATATTACTGTCCTTTAATCACTATGCCAGGTTGTTTCAATGTGCAGTTAAGCTTTTAGGGAGTTCTGTTAATGTCACTGAATTTGCTTCAGCTTTAATACAGATGAGAATCTCCAACAGCAGAGGTTGAAGCTGAATAGCAAATATGATCAAATTAAATCAGCTGTCCTCAAAGCTAAGAGAAGAAATTAGTTTATTTCTCCACAAAGGTCCCGATTTAAAATAATAAAGATTTCCAAGACACTTCAAGTTACGAGAAAGATGATTAGAATTATTGGTTAAACAGCAAACCTCTGCGCATGTGGAAGAAAAAACTACATTTCTCCAAGAGGAATCAGATGATGCTATAACTCAGTATTACAGCATTACAGCCAAATACCTGCAGGAAGGGAGAAGACTCTGAGAAAACAAATGCAATGCATGTGTGACAAGAAGAACACTATCCCACAGTGAAATGTGGAGGTGGGTCCATGTGGTTGTGGAGATGTTTTCTGCTGCAGGAGCCGGAAAACTTGATCACTTTCTTCACGAACAAGACCGTTTTGAAGAAGAATGTGATGCCCTGAGGCCTTACCAGCAAACAGTGATTTACGTTCAAGTCAAGCGGAACGTGTTTAAGTGGCCAACTCAATTCCTGGATTTGAATTTAGTAGAAAATCCTCAGTGGGATTTAAAGTAAGCAGCACCGATTTTAGTTAATTGGAAGTTTTTGCACACGAAGAACAGGTTTTTTAAAAAAGTTTTCTCGGAGCTTGTGAGAAACTATTGGAAACATTTAGAGGAGGTCATAAAGGTCAAAAGATTGTAATATTAAACTAAAATTTGGGATACAATAATGCTTAGTGGCCCTCTTGGAGTAGTTAGTACTGTTAGTAAGGTCAACTTTACATCCTAAAAAGCGCTTTGTTAAACTGTCTTTGCCAGTGAAGGCCTTAGCTGACATGTTTTTAATAAATTTATTTCACATCACTGGAAGGTTTTGCAGGATTTTAACTGCGACTCTATGGCTCATTTGTTCTATAAAAGGACCCCACCTGCTCCAGTTCGACCTTCTTCACTGACATTTTAGGCTTCTAATTCATCACTTCTTCTGATTTCAGACACCCTCTGGCCTCCTTTTTCCACCTGTTTTTTCGTGTGGTTGCCATTGTCGTGTATTTGCTGTGTGACTGGATCAGCAAGAACTTTGCGTCATGTTTTGTCCTCATCATCGCTCTGCTGTCTTTCGACTTTTGGTCTGTCAAGGTAAGAGGTCAAATAGGTCAGCCACAGATTCTCCTTGCCTCCGTATTCATTAGAGCGTTTTATTGCTATAGTGGCTTTATCCACCGGGCTAGTTCTCAACGCCCACGGTCGTGCTGCATTGTTTCAGAATGTGACTGGTCGGCTGTTGGTGGGGCTTCGCTGGTGGAACCAGATTGATGAAGATGGAAGGAGCCTCTGGGTATTTGAAGCCAAAAAAGTGAGACACTAATCTTTGTTGTTGTTAGTTTAGCTTAGCATTGTTGGGATATTAAACACTAGAATTTTGCTATCTATATATATATATATGTGTGTGTTTGTAGGCGTCCCGGGGCACTAACACTGGAACAGAGGCAGAAGCGAGAATATTCTGGCTTGGCCTGATCATCTGTCCTCTTATTTGGACATTTTTCTTCTTCACCTCCCTCTTCTCCCTGAAGATTAAATGGCTGGTAAGAGACACGTGCTGCTTCTGTGCATGTTCAGCAGAGCTACGTCCCATGATGTCCCTCTTAAATGTCCCTCTGTGTCCCTCAGTCACTGGTGGTAGCCAGCATGTCCCTCCAAGTCGCCAACCTCTACGGCTACCTTCGCTGCAAGGCGGGAGGCCACGATGGCCAGCCTCCAGACAAACGCTCTTTCTCAGGACAGCACCTCCTCCAGCGCGTGAGTGACTGACTGCATCACTTAACCTGCGCTGTTGTGCAGTTAACATGCCACTGTTAATTAAAACGATAACGATAATTCTTCCTCTCACAGCCGGACATCATCTTCGGGATACTATGAAGGTTACCTCCTGCACCTGTGCGGCCACTCTGCTGCACTTTGAGTGTAAGAAAAAAGATCCAGAGCTGCCTCTTCTCCAGAATTTCCTGGAAATGCGCCTACGCTTGACTGGCTTTGTGTCTCGTGCATGTTTTTGTTTCATGCTGTGGATTATTTACCTCACATGTTGGCTGTGGATTGATTCTGGCTATTATGTCAGTAAAAGAGAAGTGCATTTTACATGTATTGCTGTTGGTTAAACTCCACATATCTGCAATTTAATGCCACATGAAATAAGTAAAAACAGTATAGTTTTTAAACAGCTGTCTTAAATGTGTGATTAAAAACTGTATAAACGGGAAATGCTGTTAGCTGCAATCTGCAGGTTTCTGCGCTTTAGGGCGCCATAAAATGTATGTAAATAAATAAATGAAGTGTGAAAATGAATAAATACCTATTATTTAAATATTATTCAAGCATCACTAAAATCTTGCAGAGGGTGTTTATTTTAAACTTTTTAAAAATCTTTATTTTATTTTATTTTATTGCATGAGTTTTAGAAATATTAATGTGTGCACCAGGGGTTACAATCCAACTCAAATGCATTTTTATTTCTACTGTGATTCCAAACATAGTTGTCTAATTTACACTGACCAGGTGGAGCCAGGCACCAGTTTTAATACCCCGAGCCTGATACTCTGTGCACAGGTCAGAATAGTTTTTTGTTTTTTTTTAAATGCTCATTAAAAAAACTCGAAGGTTTTCTGCAAACTGGAATGCAGAGGGAGTTGCAGTGAAATTAAATATTCAGAGAGGACCATTATGCCAATCTTGTGTCTTAAATTCTGCCAATATTTGCTGTAAACATGGCTACAAGACATGACATGCTGGGACTGAAGCTAATGTATTATCACTGGTCCCAGTGTTTACCACATTAAAGGCGCCCAGAAAAAACATTTTCCTCCAGATTTGGAGGGAACTGTTCCTGCTCCTCTTGGCCCCTGATGTTAATTTCCCACACTTGCCACAAACGCCTCAGAGCTCAAAGATCCTTTATTTGTCTAGAAAGCTCACACCCATTGGCAGCCCGTGGAGCCGTGTGAACGTTGCAAGGCGCCAAATCCTTTTTTCTTCGGCATATCTTGTGATAATGTCAAGAGGATTGCAACTAAAAGTCACAAAATAAAGCAGTAGCTCACAAGTGGAGCAATTTGTCTGCCTGTGATCACCACAACTGTTTTATGCTGCCTTAGACACGGCGACGGTGCCACCATGGGAGTTAGATTTTTACACATTTCTCAGTTTAAACAGCTTGAGCTTTAACCGTGTGTGCCACATAACAAGGAAGTATTCTAGTATGAGTGATTTAAGCAAAGAATGGACGACAAAATCACTCAAATGGATTAAAAGGCAAGGAAAACAACCATGCAGCTTTGTGTTTTCTATTGATTTTTTTTTATTTTGCTTTCTACTAGAGCAGAAAATCAAGAATGACGTTTCAGTCTAAACTGCAGAGACAGCACGGAAGGACAGGAGTTATTTAAATCTTACAAACATTTCATAATTCCTCAAACTTCCTCCAGTGATGACGGTTGTGTGATACGATTGAGAGCTCCAGCAACAACTGAACTGGTCTTCATCAGCTACAGGAAAAGGGCTTCTGCATTGTTTGGTCTCATCCATTGCTATACATTTAATTATACTGACCAAAAACACAAAGGCAGCATGTAATATTTTAACACATTTTATCCAATATTTTTTAACATAAGTATTTTTTGTTTTCAGCATCTCTACAACAGAATGAATCAACAAAGTGTGCAGTATATTGGAAATGATGATGGGTAGATGGGGACTGGGGTCAACAACCAAAAGTCATAACATGTGTGAAGCACAGAGTTGTGCATATGAGGTTGTTAACGCTGCTTGTGGGATGTTGTCCAACTATTCCTGAAGGTCCCGGTGAAGCTGGCGGACATTTTGGTGAAAAGGACACAACGTCTGTCCAAAGCATCATGCGGCAGATTGTCTGTCGTACCATGTTGTCTGATTTCTTAGCAATTGCTGGAGTCTTGGACGCTGAAGTGTCCGACTACAAGCTTAACTGACATGCCGGCGTGCAGCCCGGTCTTCTGTGGCATCGTGTCATTTGCATAAAGCTGCATTTTTAAGGTGACCTTTTATCGTCGCAGGTCAAAGGAGTGTCTGGTCACATTATCTGATTGTTGTCCTTAAATGCAACACCTAACTAGAATGTGGGTAAACTTAGTGATCAATGGGCAGGAATAAATACTAACTAGCTGCACTTAATGTACAGGAAACAGTTGTGTAACACACTGGTACATGTGTATATTTCTGCACATATGATATTCTGAGAATGTTTCATAAGTTTATTGATTTGTTTTTGTTTATTGAAACTTTAAAAATGCAGGGAATTTTTGTTTTTGCACCCTGGATGTCATACACTTTGGATTTCCTACATTTTTTCCACCCTGCAGATTTTCCATACATGAAATTTTCCACATTAGATTCTGTAAATAGTTTCGTAATTATTCAATTTTAAGTTTTATTACACCTGTAAATAGTTGCTTTGCTGGAAATATTTCATGTTTAGAGCTAGTGACTATGATTGTAGGCGCTGAAACAACATAATTTCTTGCAAAGGATCAATAAAGCGTCTATCTATTTATATGTCACAGCTCAAAAACGTTTTGTACACGATTGGCTAAACTAAATTAAATCATCTTTTACACTCTCTCGCTCTCTCTTAGTGAAAAAAAAGACTTTTTGCATGCTAGGCCACTTTGTTTTAGTAGTAATAGAGGAGGTGTGAATGAAGGTTATTAACAAAAAAGCGGGAGAGTCAAAAAAAAAAGAGGAGTGAGACGTCTTGCGGCACGCGGACGCTCTTCGGAGCCGGCGGACGCTCTGATTGGTCAATCCGCCTCCCTGCTCCTGGTATGACGTCAGTGCGGGAGCGGGTTGTCAGACAGTGGAGGAAGCGCGCAGGCTGGAGGAGAAGCAGAAGCTGGAGGACCGAGGACCGAACCGGACTCATCAGGAGAGCTGCGGAGCTTCGCGTCCACAAGGGCCCCGATGTAGACGCAGAGAAAAAAAAAAACATCATCTGGAAAAATTCTGCACCAGCTAAAGTTGAGGACATTTGCCTGCAGAGTTTGCTTTTGCTCCTGGAACAGGTAAGAAACGCCTCTGGAAATAGACAACATCTGCACGTACAGCATCACATTTTATTTATTTATTTATTTTAACCAGCTTTGAATGTGCACAAATGCCATGTCTGTGTGTCTAACGCAAAAAGAAAAAGAAAAAAAAATGTAAGCACACTCATGATGTTTAGTTTAGCTTTTGGTTTAATTTTTACGCAAGAAAACATTATTTAACCACCACAAACGCCCTTGTGTTTCATACAAATGAAGGTGGAAAGCATACAGGCTGGGTGATCTTAAAACACACACACGCACACACACACATAAAAAAAAACCTTCTTCCATAAAGTACCACAACGTTACAGGCAAACTGCACTCCTCTGCCTGTTAAAATGATCAGGAACAAATTGGTTTTTGTAACAGCTTATGCGGATAATCCTTGTGATGTGAAATAGTCTAGTTTTAGAAGAAGTAGGCCAATCACAACTCTCATTAAAAGTAGGGATTCCTTGTCCCCAGGAGCACTAAAGAGCCAGGAGCAAATTAAAGCATGTTAAACCCCAGCTCAATTTAGATTTAGAAGATATTTTTTTCAGACAAAAAAAAAAGACGAAGAAGAAGAAAAAAAAAGAAAGACAGAAAAGTCAGCTGTTGATCTTGGAGCATCATTTAGCCATTGCTGCATCAAGAGCCATTTCCTCACCAAACACCGTGTCACAGTTTGGACACATGATCATCCAGCAGGCAGCTATGGGTCTAAAAAGTCTTCTAGATATTGCAATTGTGTGTGATTTTTGATGTTTAGTTCATTTATCTTAATGTTATTATAACAACAAGGCAAGTTTTCGTGATCGTTAAAGGCCACCAGTCATTTGTTGGAGGTGCCAAAGTGCCTTTAATTCAATAAAATCGCACGACAGGTCAATATGTAGTCCTCTGACTAAAAATGGGAAGTTTAGTGCCACAGATTAGCTCTGCAGGATGTCTTAAAAATAACTAAGTGTTTTATCTAAAGTGATAAATAATTCTTAGTGCAGGTGGAGATTTTTTTTTGAATGCAACTTCGTGCGTAAAATGTTATTTGAAATGGGTTCTGTGCGAGTTTAAGCTCAATTTTTAAAGCTGAAAAGAGCACATATTTGCAGAAGTGTCCATTTTTCTTATAGAAATATATCGAGATATTAGTTGCAAGAAAACACGAGCACAACTATTAAAAAATACTAAATGTTTTTATTTTTTTTAGCTATAGTAAATTCAAATATTTTTTTTCTATAATTCTACATTTACATACATGCAAAGTATAATTAGGTCAGTGTAATGTCAGCATTGAGTAGGCCTCTAACCACACAGCTTATTTCACGACATGCATATGTGACGCTTGAATGTCTTTAATATGTAATAATCAAATGCAACTGATCCATATCCTCTTATCGTGCGCTTTTACGCATCCGTTATTCGCCATAAACTCGGTTGTTTCGCTTTTTAAAAAAGAAACTAGGTGCGTAAAATGAGCTGGGAATGTGTTGTGAGATATTTCAGGCCTTCTAATGCAGCTTCACCTCCTTCTAGATCACGCCAGCATCATGTCGGGCTCCAGCATGAGAGAGTGTGTGTGTGTGAGAGAGAGGAGGTCTGTTTTTGTCTTTGGTTATCTAGCTGTATGAGTGTTAAATACCTGTCATAAAGCTAGATAACCGAAAGTAGAAATGACTTCCGTAAACGGTGTTTTCATGCCCGAAAAAGAAAAGAGGAGACTCTGCAAAGGTGGATTTTTTTTTGGCGGATTTCATCCCAGAAAGGTAAGAAAAGTTTTACTTTGAGGATAGTTATAATAATGATAATCAAATAAATAATCCTAGCTGGCTTGTGCAAAACGTACATTTACTAAAGTGGTGTGAAATATTTTTATAATGTTGCATATTATTTAATCTAAAGTCTGTTCCTCCTACACTAACAACACAAACAATTGTAGGCCTTTTAATAGTTTCAGAGCTTTATCTTTGCAGATTTATACATCATGCATCTCC